GTGTGTGTGTGTGTGTGTGTGTGTGCGTGTGCGAGAGCGTGTCTGTGTGTTTATGTATATCTGATATGGATTGTGTTAGGAATATCTGATGAGAATGCGTTTTGATAAGTCACTGCTGGTGTTGAATGTCATCTGATGTCAGATTTCGGCTTGCCTTTTATTTTATTCATATTAATGTTTACGTATTTATTACTGCCTCACACAAAGAAAACACCAGTATAATCTCTTGTCATTTTATCTACAATAAAGTTAATGATTTCCTTCCTGTAATATAAAAAGCCACAAAAACCTTATCAACCATGCAATATTAATCTCTTTCTCTGAATCACGACATATTAAATAAACACATTTTCTTGTAAGTCAGTGAATGCTGGATGATTTCATCAGAGGAAACTTGGGGTAACGGACATATTGTTCAACAGAAGGATATTGAGAATTATATGAACGAAACGAGTAAGAAAATACATTAAAATAATACGCTGAATAAGAAAAATAAAACACCTGAAATTTTTTGGACATGCGATGTGGAAGGAGTGCCTGGTAAATTTAACCCTCACTGGGCAAATCAAAAGAAAGAGAGTTAGGGGAAGCCTGCGGACCAACTAACGAGCGAGTCTGTGTGAATGGTTGGCAGAACGGGGTTCGGGAGTCTTGGCAAAGAATGAACGCTGCTAAGGACCGTAAGAGACGAAAAGTTCTGGAGCGTAATGATCGCCCACGTCCTGAATATAAATAATCATTATAAGAAGAAGAAATATATCATAGAAAATACTTTATTACACGCTAAAATATAATAAGAAAAAAAGATGAGATCGTGGAGTCATCAGTAGATTTCAGATGCACGCGTACAAGGGAATTTGGAGCAAAGAGCTTAGAGAAAACGGACATATATTTGATACGTCTTAATATTTGACGGATACGAGAAAGAAGAGACTACAGAAAAGAAGTAACTTAAAATTCACTAACTCGTATCCAATCTAATCGTATCCAGTCGGTGAATGCGCAACGGAAAATGGAAAATACAGAACGGAAAATATACTTAAAAATGTTATTTATCGAGGAGATATTTTCAGTAACTCTTTTGAAGTAATATGCATTTGAAAACCTGAAAAATCCTATCAGATGTCGATATCAGATAGATTCAGTTTTCTTAATTAGATCCATTCAAAGATCGAAATCTTTGACCATCAGAAAACAGAAAGTGAATTCAAAAAACGTTTTCAAAAGATTCAGTGAGAAAATAGAAAGAAAAAAACAATAAAATCCGACGAATATAATCACGGATAACTTAAAAATACGTACTTTTTTTCTTTTTTTTTTTTAGTTTATGATATCCAATCAGACTAACTTCTACATCAGGTTGAAACAGTATGTTGAAAACTAAGGACAAATCAATAATAGTAAAACGTTTACCAAATACGCATCTAATTAAAATGACGTATGCATTGCTGAACAATCTTCTTATTGCGAGAGCAGATGGTCGGCGATCGAACCCAGATAAAAGCATCCATTAAAATCCAGGATATCACAAGGTTCAATTTAAAGGTAATTAGCCTTCCTGAAATATACTCTTTTGGCATAATACTAGATGTACTGATCAAGTATAAATTATTTAAGCATCTCTCCTTGTTGCGTCTACTTTCGTATATGCAAAATGGATTCTATAGGTTAACGGCTGATATATGATGGAATATTGCTAAAAGAGTCTATCAAGATTTAGATAACAATGGTGAAAATCGGTCTGTTGCTTTGGATATCTCGAAGGCATTTGACTGGGTTTGGCATATTGGTCTTCTTCACAATCTGAAAGCTTATATTGCTTCGGGACGAATTTTTGAACTGATTCAGTTTTTCTTATTAAATGCCGAAATGTTAAGTGTCTTGAAAGTTCACTTTAATTTTATTTTATTTTTTTTTTGTTTTTGCATTAATGCTGCTGTGCACCAGGACTCTGTCCCTAGACGTACGTTGAACCTAATTATCATAAACGACCTTCCAGATGTCATCTGTTCTCAACTCGGTATCTCATGTTGATAGCACAACTATTTTCTCATGTCTTAATAGCAAGTTCGATGGTTCGATAGGTCATATTAGCAGCCGGTCTAGAAGTGATCTAAAATCAGTTGTTAACTGGAGCAAGGAATGACTTGTTAATTTTAATGATTCCAACAAGAAAATGCTTTCTACTAATCGCCTGGCATACAGTTTTATACAGGGTCTTCCTCCTTTTGCTTTCTCTCAACATGGCTGATGCTAGCGTCCATGAGAGTGATTCATTGTCCCTTCTCGGGCTAACGTTCTCCGCTGAGATGAAATGAAAATATTATAATGAATCAACTACTAGGAAAGTTGGTTCACGATGTCGGAATAGACAAGTTTTCTCACCGGAATTTATCTTATATATTTATAAGTCTGCCATTGATTGTCACAACTGGTTTGGTACTTCTGTTATATATTTAGAGAATTCTGTACTATTAATGATCCTGATATAGCATCTCGGCTTCAGTCACTTTCCCACCGCCGTAACTTAGCTCTCTGGGTCTTTTTTATAAATACTATCATGATAATTGTTCTGACGAACTTTCCTTTATGGTGCATAGATTTATGAATTTAAGCGCAGCACTAGATTTGCGGCAAATCAGACACGATATAGTGCCGCTCGATCACATATTCCGTGGTTGAACTCATCTGAGTTTCTCTTTTACCCATAGGACTGTGTCTCCACGAGCCCGACTACTATCACCAAGCCGCCTCATTCAGAGTATTAGAAGCCGCTTCAAGCAAGGATATACAAGTGATAGAAATTTGGAGGATTTGATATATATATATATATATATATATATATATATATATATATATATATATATATATATATATATATATGTGTGTGTGTGTGTGTGTGTGTGTAAAGTTTAAATGACAATGTTTTAAATTTTTTTAAAAAGTACTGAAATCAGCGATAAATCAAAATATTACAAAGTTGAAAATATATACAAAATAAAACAATTTTTTTTATTAATTTATGGCACCTATAGTAACATTGCCATATTGAAAATTTTCGCCATTTTTTCTCTCTTTAATTTTTTTAACTTAGCTATTTTAAATGACTACTGTATTTGATGGCATACCCAAGGGCGCTGAAACTATTTTGTACTTACCTACTTATCGAAATCTGACAAAATGCCAAATACATATTTTTAAATGTTTATAAAATGTTTTCATTTTCCAATTATGTAAATAATCATGGAGAACTACCGGGCACAATTCGTAACACACACTAATATAATAGCATCATCTACATGCAAAAAAAGGCTAAAAATAATGGAACTTTATTAATAGAAACAAAAAAAAAACACTTAATAATATTAACTATAACCATGGGCACAATATCTTGGTCGTGTTTTGAAAAATGAAAACATTTTATATTTTATAAAACATACATGCAACAAACTATTTCTAATTTAACAGTTAAAATATTTAATCCATATATAAAAAATGGCTAAATGTATAGCCGAAAGCACTCGGAAAAAAAAGAACATCCGGACAGTTTTTATATAATTTATCATCTGAAAAGAAAAAAATATTAGATCGCATGAGAAATTGTCTGTTGTATTCAATGAAATGTGCATGAAAGAAGGATTGCTGCCTAAATACACACACACACACACACACACACACACACACACATATATATATATATATATATATATATATATATATATATATATAGGGGGAGTGGCATTTTGGACATTTTTCTTATAAATTTGATCTGTATGTGAGACTTTATGATGATATGTTTTTCTTTTTTAATTTTGCTCTGACAACCAAAATATTTTCTGATTATGTTGAAATAAAGACGACCAAGGCGCTTAAATTACGGCCATTATTTAAAGATCGTAAAAGGTACATTCTAAAAGCTAGTTAATCCTGTACGCACATTTGTTCACCTAATATACATGAGTGTATACAGTGGTGTGCGTAGATCGCCGATTTTTAAGTGGTTTATTCACAATATATAGTAAGCTTTGTCTGTATTTCTAAACTGTCGTTAAACTCAGTTCATTATTCTTTATGAATAAAATTGACATTAGCATTTCAAGTGCCTCTTTCATGTCAGGAAGCCTTTTAATGCAGGTGGAAATATATAACAGCGAAATCCGTGCAAAAGATAGATTTAAAAAAAAACTAAGCAATGTACGACAAACAGATAAAGAGAAAACTGATTGCAAATAGAAATGTGGTTCTGCAGAAGGATGCTGAAAATACAATGGACGGAGCGCGTAAGTAACGAAGTCTTGAAGAAAGTTCAAACAAAAAGGACACTTATACTAAGAAAGTGACAGCTGAAATTTAGTAAACATGGGCATATAATGAGAAAGGAGGACTTGGAGAATTTAATAAACATATCGAGAGATATCGGAAAACACCTAGCCACAGTATAAATGTATGTCAAAAAAAAAAGGATTCGGGAGGTTTGGCAAAGAGATAAACGTTTCTATGGGTCACAAGGGTTAGGAGATTGAATCTCAAGATAATCACGCATGTCCTGAAAGGATAGGGCACTTAGAAGACGACAATTTAACGTTGAAATATGGCATGAATATACATTAAATTGCCTCTTACTTTTTACAGTCAGGTTTCAACCTGTGTTACCCACCACTTAGATACGTGCTGAAATGCATTCTACTGTATATTTTTAGTTTTATTTTTCGATCTATGAACAGCTTATATAATTATTCATGAATTATTTATACGTGTTTCAAGGAAGTATATTTTCCGCCTACAATTCCATTTTGTGTTATTTTTGTTAAAACTTCTTCGACTTTCCAAATCCATTTTCAGTAAGAATCTGTTTATCAAAATCTCTTTGTATCTTTGAGATCTCTTAAGTATTCTAGCGTCAGATCGAGTATGTCTCTAGCAGTATCCAGTGCATGTCTCAATGTGAAAATAGATACACCTTAACCAATCTATTTCCATCTGTTCTAATCTCTCCTTAGCCTATATCTATCTATCTATCTATATTTATTTATTTACGTCTCACTCTGTTACAGTCTATTAGTCTCTCTTACTATCTATCTATCTATCTATCTGACTTTATCTAAATCTCCTTCACTCTAAGTTACAGCGTGAGTCTGTCTGTCTGTCTATCTATTAATCTATCTTACTTCATATTTACTTCTCACACTGTTACAGTCTATCTATCTATCTATCTATCTATCTATCTATCTATCTATCTATCTATCTATCTATCTTTATTTATTTACGTTTCATTCTGTTACAATCTGTTAGTCTCTCTTACTATCTATCTATCTATCTATCTATCTATCTTTTTTTTTTCTTTCTTTCTATCTATCTATCTATCTATCTTTCTTTATTTCTTTCTTTTTTCTATCTATCTATCTATCTATCTATCTATATTTATTTATTTACATCTCACTCTGTTACAGTCTATTAGTCTCTCTTACTATCTATCTATCTATCTATCTATCTAAGTGACTTTATCTAAATCTCCTTCAATCTCTGTTACAGCGTGAGTCTCTCTGTCTGTCTGTCTATCTATCAATCTTCTTTCTTCATATTTACTTCTCACCCTGTTACAGTCTGTCTGTCTTACTATCTATCTATCTATCTATCTATCTATCTATCTATCTAAGTGACTTTATCTAAATCTCTTTCACTCTCTGTTACAGCGTGAGTCTGTCTGTCTGTCTATCTATGAATCTATCTTTCTTCATATTTACTTCTCACCCTGTTACAGTCTGCCTGCCTTATCTATCTATCTATCTATCTATCTATCTATCTATCTATCTATCTATTCTTCATATTTTATTTATTTACGTCTCACCTGTTACAGTCTGTTAGTCTCTTATCTATCATCTATCTATCTATCTATCTATCTATCTATCTATCTATCTATCTAATCTCTTTATTTACAGCGTGAGTCTGTTGTCTGTTATCTATGCCTGTTTCTTCATATTTACTTCTCACCCTGTTACTGTCTGCCTGCCTTATCTATCTATCTATCTATCTATCTATCTATCTATCTATCTATATTTATGCAGTTATATTATCTGCCTGTTTATCTATCTATCTCAGTGTGTTCATATCTATCTATCTATCTATCTATCTATCTATCTATCTATCTATCTATCTATCTCAGTCAGTTCATAGCTCTCTTTCTATATTTAATTCTCTCTCTCTCTCTCTCTCTCTCATCTACAATGTCTGTCTATATTTTTTAAAATCAGATTCACCCCAGACAAGGCAATAATGCCACTAAGACGGAAGCAGTTACTGGACGTGGAAGGATTAGAAACAGAAACAACAATAACAAACGAGAAAAGAACAAAGTGTTCAGGAGGGCAGTAGACAGCGATTGATATTTTATTTAAATTTTTGCGGATTAGCTGGAAAACATGGAACCGGAAGGAAGTTCCACAAACAAGAAGTGCGAGAAAAGAAACTGTTAACATAGAATTTACGGTTACAGCCAGCCATCTCAAGTGTAAACTGATGAGAACTCGACTCAAGTCCAGTACTGCGCTTAAATTCCAAAAGTCTAGATACCGTAGCGAAGAGATTGTCCGAACAATTACCATGAAAGTCTTTATAAAAAAAAAAAAACGATTCTGCAGTGTCAAATGTGGTGGCTGCTAATGCTGATGACCATTCACGGATGAAATATCCGACCTTAGTGCCATCAACCGGCGAATGGACGAGGAAAAATTCGGTAGGGAATGCGGTACGTGAAGAAACTACGATTGGTGGCTGCGTTGTCCTCACCTCAGCCTGCCGAAACACGATGGCCCTCTAGTAGATGCGGCGAACGGTAAAGGGTTTTATCTGAAGCAGACAGAGGCGTCGAGGGAACGAGCCAAGAGCTTTATCCTGGAGGAGAGTGTCTGAGGCAACTGTACGGTGGTGGTAAAGCGATTGAAACCGAGCCAACAGATCAGGACCAATAAGAATGCTTATTCTTCTTTGGATTTTATCAACAATCCCAAGGCAAATAGCAAGAGCACTGGATCATATGTAGCAGTTGCAATATCCTAAGCGTGGACGAATGGTAAACATAGATATGTATGATAGATTCTAGAGAGAAAAATGTCCCGCCCGACATCGTGAACCAACTACCTTAGCAGCTGACATAGCAATGGATTGAATACAATCTTTCCACTTCATGTCAGCTGAGATCGTAAGACTAAGAATGCCTCAGAACGAGCCTTTTTTTGGAGGTTAGCATCAGCCATGCTGGTGGAAGGCTGAGAGGGTTCTCTTAGATGATTAACGGAGAGAGGTTTAGTTTTGGAGGCGTCAAAATTAACAAGTCATTTTTTGCACCAGTTAACACCGGGCTTGACGTCCTTTTGGACATCAGCTGCTATTTTGACCTCGTCGGACTTATCAGCCTTACTATCGAGGCAAGAGTAAATTGTTGTCTCATCAATATAAATATCAATGGTATTTATCAATCCGCCCACGGGGATCGAATGTGGCACAAGGCCTTTTTAATGTGGGTATCTCTGAGCCCGTAGGCCCAGCCAAAAATAAATAACCATCCAAACCGGCCGAGGCGGGCCAGTTCCGTCAACCTCCCCCAACGAAACCCTACCCTTCGACGGAGCTTCGTCCGGGTTCCTCTCTGCAAGCAGAGAGTTCGACAGACACCCGACCCGGCAGCTCACAAAGCGCAGATACTACACTTTGATCCTAGCCACTGGGCCGAGCGGGTATTCTTTTTATAGACATCTTTATGACATCAGCTCTCTAGTTGATATAAATATCAACTAGAGAGCTGATGTCATCGGGAAGTCATTAATTACAGAGTACAACCAAGGATGGAGCCTGGGGAACACCCGCGTTAGTAAAAAAAAAAAAAAAAAAGATCGAGACGACAGGCTGTTCAAGATAACTTTCATTTCACGATTTGATATGAAAGGAAAGACTGGTAACTTTTCGGCCTGAGAAGAAGACCTGTATCCAAAACCCTGTCAAAAGGTTTCGAGATGTCCAAATCTACAACCCGGGCTTCACCGTTTTAATCTAGACAATTTTAGATTCTCTCCGCAATTATCGTCAATTGACCTGAAAAAACGAAAGCCATGTTGCTTATCTGAAAAAAAGGCCTTCAGTGAGAGATGATGAACCAGTTCGATATTGATTATGGATTCTAGGAGTTTCCCAAAAAGAGGTAGAAAGCTTAATAGGCCCGATAATTGGAAGACGCGTAAGGTTCACCTCACCAGTAGTCATAAAAATCTCGGTAAACAGATGATGACTTCCAGTAGACTGGAAAGCAGGAGGTAATGAGGTATTTATTATACAGTTTATAGATAATAGCAGCCAATTCGGGAGTCCAATTCTTAATTACTATTACAGAGATACCATCTGATTCACATGCGTTTTAGGGATATAGGTTAGTAGATAGCAACAACCATGCGAAGCGTTATAAGCATATCACTCAACAGACTCAGTCCTAAGCGGGAATTATTGTCTATCGTCTGAATCACACTCCTCATCGGTTTTCAAACAGAAGTGGAGTTTTATATATTGTTTCCTGTTTAGGATTGAATTTTCAGTTACTTCTAAAATCTACTTTAACTTTATACTGTAACGAATCTGCCTAAACACTGAAATTTATTCATCTCCAATTTAGGTTCATTTATTTGCGAACTGGTTTATCCTCTTTCCTGTTTATTGGGTTTCAGTTCCTCTAAAGGTTTGTTTTCATATCTACGGTATTTGTCTAACTCAGCGCGGTGGGTGGGTTCGCCCTATCTCTCGGCTCCACACTCGTTCTAGGTATTTTGAACAAGAGCAGTGGTTTATCCTCTTTCCTGTTTAGGATTGGGTCTTCTTGCTACGTCTCTAAATTCTGAAATTTTATTTTACTATTTATTTTGTCTAAAGTATCTCTTGGCTCACACTCGTTCTAGGTATTTTGAACAGGAGCAGTGGTTTATCCTCTTTCCTGTTTAGGATTGGGTTTCCGGTTCCTTCTAAAGTCTGTTTCAACTCTATACTTGCTACGTCTGAGCTTAAACTCTGGAACTTTATTTACTTTTTATTCATACCAATAGAAGCTGACACATTTTGTATTTTAAACGTATCCGTCTAAAGTCAGAAATTTCATTTCCTATTTATTTTTACTCGGTATGAACAGATAGGTTCACATCCGGTTCACACTCTTCCCGTTTTTTTGAACATTTTTTAGGTGTATTCCTTGTTTACCGTTTAGAATTGCAGGTTCCGTTTCCTTCTCATTTTTTCTTTTCATTATCTTTCTGTAGCCTCTTGCGTCTTATTGTCATCATCATCGTCGTGCTTGGGTCTTAATCGATTTAAAAAAAAATATCCGTTACATTTAACAATTTCCACGTAGATGAAGAAGATATTTGAGGCAGCAGAATTGGTTTTCCAGAAGAATGGCGAAAATAATAAGGGCGGAACACGTGAGAATTGAAGAGCTCTAATAAAATAAAAGGAACAAATAAGACCAATATAATTCATTTCAAAGCTATCTTATGAGAAAAGGGAATTTGTGGAATTCAATATACACAGGATATATTGACAGCAATACTAAATTTTTGAACGATCGATAGAAACAACGAATAACGTTAACGAGATTGTGCTTACAGATGGCAGAACATGGATTTTTTTAAGCGTTTCACCCCAAGCAAGGCAGGAAGCCACTAGCACGCAAGGGGTTACAGAGAGTTGGAGTTAGAGCAAAGAGGATAGAGGAAAGGATGAAGAGAAGGATAGGGGATAGATTAAGGCATCTGGAGACGTCGATTGACATTACATTTGAATAGTTGGAGATTATAGCTATCAGGTAAACAGGAATCCGGGAGGGAGTTCGAGACATGAAGCTATTGGAGTAGAAGATTCGGAAGGATAACAAAAAGACAAACATTGCTATAAGATAAAAAAGATAAGAAGTTACAGAGAGCCATAATCGCCTTTGTCCAGAAAGGACACTCTAAATGGGAGTAGACGCATAATGCTAACTCAGTGTAAACAAAAAATGGTATCGTTCACTACCTAATAAAGATCGCCATCATCGAGTGGACCCTAATATTTTCTAAAGTTCTGATGAAAGGTTATAATTTCAATGATGCTCCCTGCCTGGAACTGGTATATAAAATCATTCTCTAAAAGCGAGTGTGGCGGAGATGAAATGGTCCGTTCCTTGTACGATCCTAAAAAGCTGCCTGACTCCTCCTGACATGCTCTGCCGTTATAAGAGCCAGATCAGACCAAAAATGCAGTATCGTTGCCATATCTCTACCGGAAGGTGTCCAGTTCTAATGTCCAGGGCTTGATCGAGTTCAAAAGCGTCGATTGGGGGGTTGTGATCAATCAATTATATTCCCTCCTACATCCATTTTCCCAATGACGAATCGTTACTAGCCACTCACTACACTATTCCAATGATAAAAGTTTCCACCAGTACAGTCCTTCCTAGCTAGCACCTGTCATTCAACGTACAGAATATCGATTCCTCATCATTCCCTTCGGATTCTATTGGTAAAAAGAAAATTCCAATCAGACAACTTCTCCCCCAGAACTCTCACTTTGTGGAAAAAACTCCCGAGAAGATGCTTTCTCGATCAATACAAACCGTTATCTATTCTACATATACTCATATGCACTGCTTAATCTGTCCCTTTAAGGTTAGTTTTTAAATGTGGCTCAGATTTGACATAAGGAATGTATACGACACCGAATGAGGATTGAACTCAATGCTCAGCCGTAATTGTTCTAACGAGACAAACTTGCAAACCATTACACTAAGTCGAGGTTCCCTAATTCCTCCCTTTATGCCATACAGTGGTGTAATGGATAGCGGCTCGGGTTGAGGAATTGGAAAGCCGATTTCGAATTCCAAAAACGACGTTTCATTCACCTAATATATCTA